AGAGAGAGAGAGAGAGAGAGAGAGAGAGGAGAGCATCCTGAAGAAGGAGCATTGGGACCTGGGAGAATATTCAGGGGCAAACAGCCCATACATAGGTGGGGAGGGGGAATCCCAGGCCCTGGAGATTTGGGCTGGACCTGGGGCCTCTCCCACCTCCTTCTCCTCATTTGCCATTTGTCAACCGCCAGGATGAGGCTCGCTGATTCTTAGTGGAAAGAAGGCAGGCAGGTTTCAGACAGGCAATGAGGCTGAGACCCCACCAGAGTCTATTTTATATCCCACGGACTTGCGCTTCGCATAGAGCCCGGCCCCTGCACGTGGGGAGACACCGCTTCCCCAAACCCTCCGCCTCACTGACCTGAGGACTTATTAGAGTTGTTATTACATGCAAAATCTGGTCGACTGTTCCAGAACAAGATGCCGTTACTCTTGGAATCCATGGACCTCATGTCCAGCGTGGTTTGGTTTGACTGGAACGTTTCAGTGTCCAACTTCAACAAGTCTGTTGACTGATTGGACTGAGAATCAAAATCGGTGTAGAGGCAGACGATGCTGTTGGATTTGGGGCTCCTCAGCTGGTACACGGCAGGGGCAGGGTCCCGGATATCTGTAGGTCAAGAGGACATGGGGTTAGAAGATGCCGTCGCTTCCCTCCGTGCATGCCCCTGCCCATGGTGGTGCCAGTCAGGGGCCTCCAGGTTATGTTCGGAAGTGTCAGATGGGAAAGAGCATTTTAGGAAGCAGTCAGTCGCAAGGGATTGGGACTTAGGGACAGGCACAGCCACGAATCATGGCCAAGAGACCAAGCTCTCCTTTCAGGACTCCCAGATGCTGGTGCTGAATGCCACCACCCTTTCTGCCACTCCATAGGGACATCTCCCAAACCTCAAGAGGCCCAGGAAACAACCAAACACCTCCGACAAGGGCCAGAGCGAATAGAAAAGCACACAAGCAAGGACAACCAGGCAGCACGGGATCCAGGTGGCCTCTCTCCCCAGGCGGGGCTTCCCTAGGAGGCGGGGGTTGGGGATATGCTGGCATTCTGCTGAAATACCTATCGCCTCACCAGGAGATTTCTGTCTCATAGGCTAAGGGTTTGGACTACCAATCACCACACCCGGGTCCAGGCTCTGGTTTGACCAGGTCCTAGATATGGGGCGTGCAGCAGGTCACTCCAGGCCCCAGGACTCAGAAGGTCTCATCCCTCCTCTACCTTCCCGGCTCTGCTGAGAACCCAGTGAGGCTCCAGATAACATTATATTTAACAAACTGTAAAGCACGGAGCACATGGTGGTGGTGGTCCCTAAGAAGACTCGCCGGGCGTTGCCACGGCAACGTGCTGCTCCCAGCCACAGTCTCTCCTCACCCCAGGAAGCGGGAGTTGCTGGAGGCTTTCCCTTAGTGCTGGGAATCATTCTTCAGCATTTCCGTAGGATTTGGTGTTTTTAATGTGATTCTCATTGTTTATTCTTTCAGACCTCCTGCCTTTAGAAGAGGAAGCAGAGGTTTGCTGGGAGGATTAACAGGCTCGGGCCACCCAGCGAGTTTACAGCAGGGTTGGGATTAGAGCTTCCTGCCCCTGTGCGTCTCAGCTCCCAAGGCCCCTGGCTGTGTGGATGAGTTTTCTCAGACCCTGAGAGGCACACACTCCCCACCTTGCTAAGCCAGCCAGGGTGGTCCTGGGGGCACGGGCATCCAGTTGGACCCCAAACCAGGGAAACCGGCCCTTTGCCCAGCCTTCCGATGCAGATCTCCTGGTAGCAGGAGGCCCCTAAAGTCACAGAGCATAGAGTGGGTTCCCTGGTCTTATCTGAGAGAGCTAAAGAGCCCTGGCCCAAAGGATTCGGCCTCCTCCCTTCTATTCTCCAAATACCCAAGGGGAAGGGGAAGGCTGGCATCACTGTGGGGGTAAGGCCCCCAAGGCTCTCTCTTTCACTGGAGGAGCGAGACAGGAGGCCATCAGCAGGCTCATCACATCCCAACAGATGAGTCGGTCATCAGTGGCTGCCCTGGTCAGGGCTGGGCAGGGGGCTCAGCGGGTGTGCAGGCGGAGGGGAAGGCAGAGGATAAAGTGCTCCATGGCCTCAGCAAGACGGAATCAAGTTTTAAATGTGGAAATTCAGCCACTCTCGGGCCTAACACGTCATTTTAATTCAAAACCACGCAGCAACACATGTCTGGACGCTGGAGTGCTTTAGACCCCCAGGGGCGCAGCCGTGAGGGAAAGCCCCTTTGCCACTGAATCTGGGCTTTGTAGTCAGGCACTGGGAACCCAGAAATGGGGGTTACCACACTGACTCTGAGTCCCACTGAGGCTCTGGTGAGCACCGGCTACCCACGAGCATAGGTGCCGAGTATGGGCACACTCACCAGGGGTAATGGCAACTTGGGTTCCCCTGCCAAATTGCAGCTTGGAGGTAGCATCTGTGTACCACTTCCAATGTTTCCTCTACAGAAACCTTGGGATCTCCCGCCCCCCATAAGATGTCCGTGGGGAACTGACCTCTCTCACCAACACATGGAATAAGGAAGACACAGGAGGAACTGATGGCATTTGAATTACGGTGCCAGAGAGAGGACTGACAGTACCATGGATGGCCAATGGATCAAACCAGTCTGTCTCAGAAGAAGGACAGCCAGAGCGCGCCTCAGAGGCAAGGATGGCGAGACTTCATCTCACATACTTTGGACATTGGCAGGAGAGACCAGTCCCTGGAGGAGGACACCATGCTTTGGAAAGTCGAGGGGCAGCGGGAAAGAGGAAGGCCCGCAGCAAGATGGACAGACACAGTGGCTGCTCTGATGGGCTTGATCGAGAGGAGGGCCCAGTGCCGGGCAGGGCAGTGTTCTGCTCTACTGTACACAGGGTCGCTATGAGTCGCAACGGACCGGGAGGCACCTAAACTACAACACCGAGGCATCTGGCTGGCATGTCTAAGTAGGATTCCCAGTTTCCGAGTGGATTTGGCCTTGGCTTGAATTCTTGAACTCACCATCTCCCACCCCCACCCCCCTCTATGAAATTTCTTTGCTTCATGAGTGCTGATTTCTCTTCTCTTTCTTTCATTTTTGAACAATTTATTGTGGTTTGGGTGAAAGTCTAAAGAGCAAATTAGTTCCTCATTCAGCAATTTATGCACATTTTGTCATGTGACATTAGTTGCTGTACCCTCAATATAACTGCCCCCTTCTACTTCCTCCTTGGACGCCCAGCTTCCATTAACCCACCCTGCCTTCTGACCTTTGTTTTTGGACAAATGATACCCTGTTGGGTCTCATAAGGCCCCAATTCTCTGGAAGGCTGTGGTATTCCTTTTGCCCCTCCGTTATCTAAGAAGCTATCTTCTTTGCCTCACCTCCTATCTGACTTGATGATCGATTCTCTGTGGCCCCAATGCAGGTGCCATCTTCATTCCTAAGAGCCTGCCCTTCTTCATGTCTGGAACGCCCCTCCCTGCTTTTCTTCGCCTGCGCTCTTACCGTCTACCTCAGCAGGGCTCAACGATTCCTTTCCACCACATGAAACGTCTCTGTTGTGTTTGTGGACACCATCAACTGGCTAACATTAAAACAGTGTTCACGGCACTGACTTTGCAACAGCTCTTGGCTAGTTTTTCTACTACTTGGGCACAGGTCAGGCTTCTCTGTCTTTCCCTTCCTTAGACTCAGTCTGATACGAAGGCCTTTAACACTATTCATTGAATGATTGTTAAAGTCCAGCTTGGATGTGTTTGGCCTAGGGAAACACAGATATTCAAGACCGATAGTGACCCCTTCCCCCCTCACAGAAGCCTCTGTAAGACAATTAGCAATAACGCCCACTGTTGGCATCACCAGAGTCAAAGCTAATATTCCCAGGGAGAAAATTCTGACCGTGGCCCCTGGGGTTACAAATGGTGCCACCTAGTATATGACTCACCAGATCGTATGGTCACCTGGGTCCCCTTCCCAAATACGAGTCTACCAGTCATGGCTCCAGTATTCACACTGCAGGCGACACCATTACCAAAACTCCACGGACCTGTCTACCTACTCCTTAAGTCCGAGAAGCCCTGGGCTCCCACAGGGGCACACTCCCTAGATGCAGCGCCTTCACTCTTTGGGGGTTTAGATACTGTTTGTGGGGGTGCAATCTGTCTCCTCCTGCCCCAGCCGGCCACTGGGGCCTGGGCTGGAGGTTGTGATGTCAGTAAACTCAGAATTTAGAATGCACAACCCTCTGTTTCAGGGCAGCCGTATCCTGGGTCCTCTCTTGGAAGGCCCAGGACTACTTTCCCAACACCTGCCTTGTGATCGCCAAGGTCCCAGCAGAGGGATAATGTCTCCACAGCACCGAGTGCTGGGTGCGAGGATTTTCTGGGGATGGGTGGGAATAGTCCCTCGGGTCCTTCAGCAGAAAACACCTGGGCTCCACTTAGCATGTAAGGCAAAGGAGCACGTGTGGTTGCTGTCCCCTCTTGCCCCAGTCAACTTACTTGGCTGGACCCTCATTCTGGTGCCTGCTCCAAAGATCAGCTTGGTGTTACTGCTGTATCCCCACCGCAGGGAACGGCTTTGCTATAACCGCCCTGATTCGAACCTACTGGGATTCCCAGGGTCTCTGAGCACCGTCTTAAATGGCTCCCTGAGTGTCTGTTTCTTAGCGCTCCTATTTCCCCAGGAAGCTGTTCCTGCCTTTTTTTTTTATAATAATGTACACCTTAGCCTAGTGAATCTTGATAGCGGTGTGGCAACAATAATCACTACTAGCATGATTTTATCAAGCTCTCATATATCACTGGCTGTATAGCAGGCATTGTCTCAAAAACAACCACAGTCCTTCGGATAGGGGTCTGGGTCCCTTTTGCCCTTGGGAGAAGGTCCAAAACTCCATTAAATTCCAGAGAGTAAGATTTTATGAGCAGGCATCTTGGTACCTACTCGTTAGCCGATGCAGGAAATGCAGCGACCTGCTACAATGAAAGCGAATTTGTGTTTGCCATGAACTCATCTCTTCCCCCCAAGGGCACTGAGCTAATATCCTGAATGTCCCGATTATCTGCTGCTGATATTATCAGCTTCGCTCCAAAGCACCCAGTGTCTGGGTCTCTTTTTATGTTTCTGCAAATTATTTTGTACGCCTGTCATGGCCTCCAGTGGCTTTGGGCGCCTCTGTCTGTCAGATGAGAAATGGGGACATTCCAAGTCACCAAGAGAGCTGGTGCATGGCACATGTCCCCGAGTTGGCCGGCCATCCTTGCCTGTTTTCTCACGGACAAACCGTCAGCTACTTTAGCCCTGGCCGTTCGCGTGGTCCTACTCACATGGATGCACCGACAACCTGGTCCCTGCTCCAAAGGTCAGCTTGTTGTAGCCGCTAGATGAGGCACAACAGGAGGGCGCTTTACAAGAACCCCAGCCTCGCCAGGACCAGCTGGCGGGGCAGCTCTGCCTCCCATCTGTGTCCTCTCATCCCTTCCTAAAGCTGAGGCCAGACCCATAGGGTCCTCATTCCTCCGCTTTCTGTGTAGCAGGCCCGCTGAGCTGGTCGGTCCTCAGAGCCGCCCTTGAGCTGGCTAAGACTTTCTGGAGGATGGATGTCCACTGGCTTTCACAACTGAAAGTCAA